TGCACAGAATTTAAAGGAAAAAAAAAAGTTTTTAAAATACGCTAAAGCACAGACTAAATGATCTTGTTCTACCTACCTTATTTAGCTGTGAAGTTCTGATCCAGTTGTAGATTCCCTATGATGGTGATTAGGGTTAAAGCATGTTGCAAGAATATATGAAAAATCTCTTCTTATTTAACTTCCCAAAAAAGTGATCAAATTAACTTTAAAATATATTGTCAAACTGGGGTGGGGGGGGGGCACAAGAATATGTGTGCTTCGTGGATCAACTTGTAGGAGAAATAATCTGATTGCGACCAGAGCCATGTCCTTGTTTGGGCTTATTTTGTACTAGTTCAGATTACAGTTCTGGCCTTCTTGTAGGAGGCTGAGTAAATCCTGTTCATATTCTTGATCTCTGAGAAAGTGCTGGGAAAAAGAAGGCTTCAAATAAGAAAACATGCATCTGTAGCATGGCAGAAAGCCCTCAAATTAGAGGACATGACATGTCCTTATGGCTTAGCCATCATACCATAAGCTGTAATAAAAAGAATACCAACAAAAACATAAGCAGCAACAAAGTCAGATCAGCATTTAAAACCAACCTGTCCAAAAGCAGCTGCAGCTATTTATAGCATCTGGAAAATAAACCAAGTTGCAAAGTTATAACTTTACTAATCTCACAGAGCACTGGTACTGCAGCGATGGCTACTATTTTCAAAGGAGTGATAAGCTGAGAAAGATCCCACAGAAATCTTTGCTAGGTGCTTGTGCCAACATCAAGATTTTTGATGTTGCCATTGTAGCATTCCCTCTCATAATAACCACAGCTGTGCAACAGAGCATCATGGCCAGTGCCATTTGAACAGGGAGTATGTCATTTGTACAATATGTTTCTTTAGGGTGAAATAAAAAGCCTTGGAATGAAGGATATTTTGCAGATGTTACTCAGCATACCAATGAAAAAATCGTAGGAAGAGAAAGTTACTTGAAGCTCTCCAATGTTTGTGGTTTTCTTCCCATCTCACAAAGCTAACTGCTACAGGGAATGCAATGCTGAACATAGAGCAGAGCAAAACCATTTTAGTGGGATTTAGGAGCCGAAAGAAAATGCAAGAGAGCAAAGTTAATATTTTGGTAACATTAAGATTTGAAAGCATAAGTGCAAAAAATTGTCTTCCAAAGCCTTACAACACCCTTGAATCTATTCTTCCATTGAAGATAAATTTCTCTAACAGCATGCTAGTCATGCTGTAAAGGCAGAGCTATATTTAATAAATTTAAACTAATAAATTAAATTTACTATTTTTAATAAATTTAGAAAAAGGGAAAATAGTGATACAAGCATGCTGAACATCAGTTCAAATGCCTAGCTGCACCCTGAACGTGGTTTGCCAAAACTTTCTGATTAACTTTATTTCCATACTGATCAAGGAATTGTTTAAGCTGCACAGCTAACTAGTTAACTATGAATAATTGTCATCTAATTCTTGTATTTGTTTTGAACTGCTGGAGTAGAAATGAAAATGACGGTCTCTTGAATAGCTGGGTCACTCATATAAACACATAAACTCGTTTCTCAGTTAAACCACTTGCCAGCAAGACCTGATCTGCCACTTATCCCATTTAACTTGAGATATTCACACTGTATAATAGCTGCAGTCGTCAAGGGCTACCTAAACAGTCTCTTAGAGCATAATTCATCTAACACATTTTAGATGCATATTTCCTAATGTCAGTACAAGCCACAAAATTGGAGGATGTCAATGTCATCTTGTGTCAGAGGAGCTGTAAGTCAGAAAAAGTGTTTATTTTATAATGACATATTTATTTATAGAAAGGCTGGGGTTTGGTACAGATAGTCACATCTCACAGAGATCCCGTCTGATGAATACAGAAAAAACAGTGCTAGGAACTGAAAGGTTCTGGTGAGCAGGATAGTGCCTATCCAACACAGCTTCCACAGTGAGCTGCACTGAGGTGGTATGAGCCCTTCATTCCAACGCTGACAGAGACAGAACGAGTTCTGAACCAAGAGTTCAACCCAAAATCAGGGATAATATAAAAAACATGCTAATCCTCTGAAGAAGAGAATGAAAAATAACTGATTTAGGTATGGATGAGACAGAAAAAAATGTAATCTCCCTCATTTCTGAAACCAGTAGCTTATTTCAGAAGCAGCCATAGGTACCCACAGGAAAGGAAAGCCAGGGAACGATGACTCTTCAGAGAGAACTGTTCATCACTGAGCCAATAGAAATGTTTGTGTGTACCCACTTGGGGTAAATGGGCACATGCTGATATTCTTTGAGTTCTACTCAAAGGTCTTGACAGGAGAACAGGTATATGAGCCTCACTAAAGTTCCACATCTGAATGCAGAAACTATGGAGGCGAGAGAGTGGTCTGAAGGCCTGCCTGGAGGGGCCCCAAGCCCATCTGGTTTGATGGCAGAGATGTCAGAGCTTGACTGAAGGAAGAGGAGGCAAAAGGCAAAGAAGGACAGTGAAGCCAGTGTACAATTGCTGGGGGAAGGAGAATTTAATGGGGAGATAACACCAGAATTTTTCAAGCAACTTAAATTCTTCTCAGTGCCTTGAGAAACCTCTTAAAAATATCTCCTTTGGGTCCTGGAAAAGCTGCTGTATAAGCAACTCAGGTTGTAAGCCTGTCAAGAGAAGAAAGATGGAGGAGGATAAACACACAAAAATTATGGCTTGAATCAAAGAACAATCACAAAAGCTGACAGTTGTTTGTGAAAACATTGGAAATAGGTATTTATGCATCAAACAACATTTTAAGATACAGATGTTAATACCTGCAGATCTCTCTTTGTAGACACAAGTGGTCAAAACCACAAGCCAGTAGTCTTCTGCATGAGAATAGGCCTCTCTGTATGTAGATTTTATCAACAGCAGGCAAGTGAAAAGAAACAAAAGCTAAAATATATAAAATCAAGGACTTCTTATGATCTTTTTAGGATGTAGTGCATAAATATGAACCCCCAGTTTCTGCCGTCATTGTTAAGCACAATGCCCAGCAAGTAGTACATCATGCAGTATCAAATTAGTGGAGTAGGGGAGCTCTGTGGCACATCATCCCATTCTGGTACCAAACACAGTTCAGAGTTAGGAGCTTCTGCAGTGCCATGGGGCTTAGTCTTCTGGCTGTACACAAAGGATGTCCTTACTCCTGGGCACAAAAATATGTAGTTTAAACCCACTGACATTTTGTTCCCGCTCTATTGAGGTCTCATTTTCTCAAAGGATAAATTTGTCTTTATGAATGCCATATGCCAGTGGGTGGCTTGCTCTTGGGATTCCAACTAATTGTTCAAAACCAGGAGGATGTATCTGCACAATACCCTAGAGGACTTCTGATACTACAGCACAGACATACACACACAGACCAAGTACATATCACAGGGAACTGCTCAGCTTGCAGGTGAGTTGTTCAGACGGTGCCCTCAGTCATATTATCGACCTGTATTAACCTCTGCATCAAAATCTGAGTAAAAAATCTTCATTACATCAGCCATGCTTTCCACTCATTTCATGCCACTTCTTTCCTTTGTTTTCAAGGTTGTGCAATAAACAGAATCACTGAAAGAATGATGATAAAATAAACCATTTGGAAGAAAAAAAAAAAAGATCTGGCTCATTTGGTGATATCACTTAATGTGTCCCACAGCTAGCTTCATGGAAAGATGAGAAAGGTAGTCAGAGCAAAACAGTATTGGAAACATGGTTAGGCTTGGTGGTGTGAGTGGGAGAAGGGAGAGAAGGTAGTGCTTGTGCGCTGGGCAGCTATTCCCTCAGTACTAAGAACTCCATGGTACATTAGTTTATTCTTGCTAATTAACACACCAGAGAAAATCAAGAACCCAGTTCTGAGACAGAGCAGAAATCAGGGCAATCTAAGAGCACTAATAGCTAGAAACTCTTGAGTTGTCCAATGGAGGGTTTCCACGAAAATTTCATGCTACAGTACATAGATACTTTTGATAATTATATTCTATGGGACCCCTAAGACAGGAAAGTACTTCAGTACCTCTAGCAAATTATGGAGGGTTTTTCAAAGAAAACACATACCGAGTGCTTAAAGTCCATTTTGGCAGCTCTTAAATCTTCATCTTATTGAAAACTGATACAGGATATATAAAGATTGGATATTTCTATACTGGAAGCATTTCAATATATAAAAGCACTACATAACATGGAATCACAACTCTGTAACAAATTAAATTTCATATGAAATGCTAACACATTTCTTAAGTATAAATTAGTGTGGTAGCAACTGCATGTCACTTACCTAGGAACTAATTAGCTCCATTTGTGGCTGCCATTTGTCCTCATACATTGTTAACAGCCTTCTTCAAACCAACACTTGACAGGAATGTAAAAATTCTAATGCAGTCCACTGTAGCATACACTTAACACTCGAATAAATAAATCATGTTACTAAGCATAATAATCTTCTTCAACTACAGGCAGAGCAGTTCCAAAATACTTCTGGAATTTATTTTAACTTAAACTTTCTTACAATGTTTTAAAAATAATTTACTTGTGTAAATGAATAAAGATGACATTTGTATTATAAAATTGTCTTAAAGAAGTCAGCAACGCAATCTTTTTTATTAGTGCTGCACTGAGTACACCTAACCAAACTCCCATTCAAAGACAACAAATCAGTATCAATTAAAACAGTGGACCTCCTTCACTTACTCTATTTGCTTATTTAAACAAACCAAAGATCATGGAATGTAACTTGGTGTTCTGTGGAAGGGTTACAAATGCACACTGAAAAAGGCAAACCTTTTAAGGAGAGGGCATGTCTGAAATAAAACAGTGGTTTAGGAAACTATTTTCTGGGGTCAAGCTTGACAAATAGTGATAAATTTTTCACTTAAGTCTGAAAATTCAAAGCTTCCTTAGTTAAAGCAATATCCATCTTTGAGAGCTTATACTAATGGGTATGGTAGCTTTACAGAGTGTTGTTTATGAATATAATACATACATAGTGCTGGGTTCAATATTTTATTTGAATGAAGTTTAATGTTATGCAAAATAAATTGTTATGTTACATCCACTGTGACATCAACTAAAATGTGAACTAGGTTGCATAGGTTAGTACTTTGGGCAGCATGATGTTGCTCTAGTCCACCAAAGCTTAAATATTCACAGTGTAGAGGAAGAAACAGGAATTAAAGCATTTCTACTAAAATATATTTTAATAGCTGGTGTTAACTTTCTGCATAACAAAAGCCAAATTAAGATGATACATCATATGATCCAAGAGTAAGTTTATCCGTCCTTTGAAAAACAATTGTTACCTTCATAACTGTATACCGTCAAATACAGTACAGTTTTGCAAAATAACTAAAACTTTACACACTTTAAAGCAAACATAAGCCAAACTGCACAGCGGTTCATTTTTGCTTTTTATATCACATTGCAAAAACCAACAGCTGAGAGATTTTCCACATCATGCTAATCAATGTCAATACAGTCATTGCTGTCTTCCAATGGTCTAGCAATTTCTAATAGTAATATTAAATACACAATTGAAATGCTACAGTATAGCTTATTTTCCCCCCTAAAATAATAATAATAAAACAAATGTCAACAACAACTGGATTACAACTTAAGTACAATATGCAAATTCTATTTATCAGACACAAGAAGCATATGAAATTCCTTTGAATATACTGTTGTAGTGCAGGCAGTTTAGGAAATAGAGCTTTCAGGTTTTCTTTCCAAAGGAGAGATGGGGTTCCTATGGCATAAAGCTGGAGAAAATCACTAAAGCATTGCAAAATGGTTTAATCTTCTACAGCTCACTAGTACTTTGCATTTGCCAGCACATCAGTTTGGAGGACTCCTTTCAACAGCATCTTCTGTCTGTTTCATTATATTATTTAAACATTTACTAACTAAAGCATATTCTATATTTTAAATCGAGTATTAATTAACTTAATAAAAATCTATGATTTTATACCCTGTACCACCTTCTGCCAAAGACCTCTGTATTTGTAATTTCGTTTTTCATCGTACAAGATGACATGCAGTCACTGTACAATAAAAACTAGAATTATTACCTTTCCCAGGTATTGGAGACCTTCCACATCCCCAAGAAACACTCGGCAGGGACACATTTGTCAAAAACATAATCCATGGGAGGTGATTCTCCATCAAATCCCAGTCTGCTGAAGTAGTTTATTGTATGTCAAATGTAATCAAGAAAACCCTGTTTCATCAAGACTAAATGCTAATGTTACATAATGAAAAATTACAACTGCAGTACCTGTATGTAGCTTTGTTTAAAAAATGAAGAGAGCCAGGCAAGAAAGAGTAATGAAAAGCAAGGCACCCATTTGTTCTTGTATGTATGCATGAATATGCTCTATGTTGTTTTCTACATTTATACTCGTGTTAGCAAGAATTACAGCATTCTTTACATAATTTTTTTTATTTCTAAAATAGGAACATGTGGACTTCCAACCTGAACTTTGGAACAGCTTGAGAAATTCAAGTCCTTAAAAGCCCTTTCCTTTCCCCAGAAAAATGTTGACTATAGGAAGAAAGAACAGTGAGGGGATCATGCTGTGCTAAAAATGAATATAAACTTTAAAGGTGACAAGACAGCATGTAGCATCTTTTCACCCCTATATCACACTGCATGTAACAGTCTCCAACATATGCTTTGAAGAACGTGTGCTGGCACAATTTAGTTCATGACTTACCCTCCATGCCTTACAAATTTTAGTTCTTATTAAAAAAAAAGTATAATTGCATTCTGGTAATGCAATTTGGGGCCTTTGATTGCATTGCTTAGAACAAAGCTGCAAAACTACAATAAGTTTGTTTTATATCAAAAAGAAGGAACCATTCCATATAAATATGAATTTCTAAGCATATATGACAAAAAACATGACTAAAAGAATAAGTAACTTAAACCAGATCTGAATAATTCTGCTGACATACCATTCTCAAGAGAAATAAAATTCACATACTGTTTTGTTTTCTTGACCTTTTATTTTCTGCAAATTGCTTTAGCTGCTCTGCCAGGCTAATGAATATTCAAAATTCATAAAGGAAATTTTATTTCTATTACTAAGCATAGCATAGTTCTCTAATGTCACCAAATGCTCATTTTCTGATTTACCTCTGTATATAACGTATTCAACACTGTAAGCTGTCTCCTCATTTAGGAAGAATGACTGTATTTATAGGTGGAGACCCTCTGTTTTATAAGTCACTAAAAATTGCAACTTGATGCCATATAGATATTCTCTATATTTTTTTTAATTCATATTTGGTAACAAAACTAACACCTTGTTTTTATTGTTGTCAGCATTACACAGCTAATAGAGCAGCACAGCAGCAAGTGACAGCCAGTTGTGCTTCAGGCATCATCTGAAAAAATTGACAGCCAGCAGTAGATGGAATTCCTCTCCTTGCTGTTGATGGCCAGGGATGAAAACCCACACAGAAGCAAACTTCTTGTTTCAGAGCTTCTAGCTCAGCATACCACATGGCTTTAAAAAAGCCATTTGACTTGCTGATTTCCTGTGAGTGTCACCAGTAATGCAAAAGGGTCTGCTGCAAGAGCAGCTCCTTATGCAAAACTTGCAAGAATTTTAAATCACAGCAGTCAACTATGCAAATTGCCTATTTACAGTCATGGAATTCTACTTTTAAGACACATCTTTTGAAGCTGGATACTCCTGGACAGCTTTAGCCTTGAAATTAGGCTGCTGACAAGAAAGCACAGGTAGTTCCACAGTCATGGACATTTTTAAATTTCTTTTTTAATGCAGTCATTCCATTCTGCTTGGCAGCTGGTATCATCCCTGTGTTAGCAAGACCCAAAATAAAATTGCATAAGCTTACCAATTCTTTGGAAATTGTATGCAAAAATAGAACTTACAGGGATTTGCAATGACAACTTTCAGTTGACATAACAAATCCATACAGCCTTCCTTATTTAATTTTTAGTTATTGCAGGACTTCCTGCTATGTGAGATGAGAAGTAAAAAATTGTCTAAAAGTTCAATATATAATTCTACCTTAAAAATTTTAGAAATGGAAGAAAGTTAGTGCAGACTCAATATTCTGAGCACTACTCCAAAGTTAAATTTCCTTAGCACATGGCTGAGCTCCACAAATTATTTTATCAGAAAAACATTTTCTTCTTTACACATTTCTGCATCCACATAAATAATTTCTTACATGAATCTTTACCTCTTTTGTCCTTCTTTCCACAGTTTCTCCCTGTGAGGGAATACAGTCAAAGCAAAAAGAAGTTGCCTGTGACCTACCCTACTGACAAAATTGTTCATACTATCCACTGTGTCACCAGCTGTTAGATCCTCTCCTCACTTCATAGACTGAGACCTGGATCTCTCAGTTCTGGCTGTAAGTTGAAAGACACTAAATAGCACATGTGAAGGTTTGTCAGCAGAATATTTTTACTGTTTTCAACAGACGGCTAAACTGAAACAGAATGGAATAGAGTATGCTGGATTTTGCTTAGTTAGCTTTCCCTTCGATGTCATTTATGAGAAAGATTAAGTCACTAAAAGAAAACATAATTCTTCTCCATCATTAATCATTTGGCAAGCGTACAACCCACTGTTGGATCACCAAGAATTTGGGAACAAACTGAAGCAATAGACCATTGATCTGAAATGCACTACAAGAACCAGAGCTCTCCTCCACTGCTGGATGGAGGCACAAGTGTTTCTGCAGCAGGGGAGGGACATCAGCTCATCAGCAAAGCAGCCATTAAGCGAGTTACCTGTGGTGAGAACGGGATGTGACTGAGGCTCTGTGGGACCGCACAGCGCCGCGGCCGCGCGTGGGAGATTTATTTACAGCGCTACGGGTGAAGGTAAAGGAGCTAACATGGAGTATTGGTTGTACGTTGCCCTAATGAAAGTTTCTATTTAAATGGTAAGTATTATTACAAGGAAACAGAAGAGTTGACAGGTTTATATCTTAGATAGTCTTTGCAAGCAATCGTCTGCAGAAAAGATACTGAAGAACCATGAATCCAGACCTGGGTCTAATTGATGGCTTAGGGTGGAAGCAAAGCTAATAGATCACTTGGAAATAAGAAAAAATGGGTAATCCAAGAATAAATGTGGATATGCAAGAATCAGGAAATTTTTGCTGTCAAAATAGACATATTTACTGTAAGGCTGCTGGGCAGTATTGACAGGGTTTTATTGGGTTTTTTTTTTTTACTGGCATGTTACTTGTCTTATTTCAAATGACTGCATTATCTACTCAACATATTAATTTTTATTAGGAAGTTAACTACTTAAACATTTATCATTTCCCTAATAATTTGAAGATGTGTTCAAACTCAGTGTGTTAACCTCCTGTGACTTCAGAGTGCCATAAGAAGTGAATCAATTTTATGGTTATAATGTCTTTGAGGTGTAAGGAAAAGGCATTACCCCTTTACAGTTAATTGACCAAAGTTTTTATAGGACTGGCAACACCAGGCTTCCATATATGTTTTTCATTTTGAGAGAGCACTATTAAAGCAATGCTGTTTTCAAAGCTCTGGGCTTCTTGTAGATTATTTTTTTTAAAGGACTTTAAAATGGATTCTGAATGAAAATGCAAACTGTTATAGCAGTGATTAAGTAATGATCATGAACTCTTAAAAGATTCTTCTGATTTTTTCTCTAAAATATTAGATTTTAAGTAAATCATAATAAAGCTCAAAGGACTAGAGACAAAAATTAATTAACAAACTCAATATAATTTGCTGGAAGCATTCCTGTTTTCCCAGTTCTCTGAACAGTACCATACATCCAGCCATCATCAATTGGTTGCACATTGATGATATAATCACCATCCCTGAAGGAAACTTCATCTTCATCTTGGGCACTGTAGTCATACATAGCTCTGTATGTTCTCTGTTGAAGGAAAAAAAACAAGACTGTAAAGCCTCAAGTCTAAACCTGAGATTCTTTGATTCCTTCTCTTTGCACAAAGAAGAAAAGAGAAGGAAAAAAAGAATAGAGGGAGCAAAGCAGAGAGAGAAATCACAAGTTACCTGTTATAAAGGAACAGTATTCCCTTCTACACCCTGTCAAATATACAGTGAATACAGACCCTTGTTCTGAGTAGCAAAATAATTATTTTGTTAACTCACATTGTCTTATGGCTTCAAACAAACAGATTACAAGCCATTCACTGCATACTGAAATATTCTTTTGTTTCATTAATTCACTAGTAACAGTTCATTAAATCCAGCCAGGCTAGCTCTACTTCTGCTCCCTATTTGCATGACTCACAAATAGCTTCTCCTGTGCCTTCACTACAAGAAGAAACATAGTCTTCATCCAGGCCATTAACTTTTCCATCTCACTGAATGTCCTTCATTTCATTAGGATTTTACCCAAATTAAGAATTATGAATGCATTATTATCTAACAGAAAGACAAGATTTTTAGAATTCTATTAAAGTAATTTTTATGAATATTTATATTTTCATATTCAGACAAAATTTAGCACATAAAGTGCCATCATAAACTAAGACAAATTTCTCTACAACTCTGCCTACTATAAGACAAGCTTTCAGCTTTTTTCTCAATTTTTCTAAATAGAGTGTTTGTTTCCACTCATAACCAATAAAATGGCATCATTTACTGGAATTCAAAGTGGATTTTCAAACTCAGGAAGAACTGTCTCCCCTTGTATTTTAACAGCAGAATAAAACTAGCTCATTTTAAAATTCCCAAGAGTACTTTCTTTTCCTTACCCTGGCTCTTAACAGAAGTCAAATGCAGTTCAAGCATTACTGATAATATCTTATTTCCCTTCCGGTAATTTTTGCTATGTTACTATATGTAGCTGAATTTTTCTGGTACAATAATTTAGAAATAAAAAAGGCAAAATAGTCAGCATGTGAGTTCATGCCTAGTACTATTGTCTGAGCCTTTTAAAAGACAGCAAATTTCTCTGCTCAAGAAAACAGCTTTGAATTAGTTTTAGTTCATATCATATATATGGGGGCTTGAGTGCATTTAATAAAACTATTTTTTAAAAAGGTGGAGATTGCTCCACATGGAATGAGCAAGCCATTTGTCACATGTTGAAAATGTGGAATTATTTAATCCAGACTCTATAGGGCAACTGATCATTACTGTTCCCATGCTAGAAATATACTTTTAGTCTTGGCTCTGTCATTGATAGTGCAAATTAAACAGGATAGAGAAATCAGCTCCTGTTTAAACACTGGAGAGCATTGAAGACCACCTTTCCTGACAAAACTACCCTGAACTGCATTTGAGTCTTGTTATTGTTCTCTGCCATGCCTTGTAGTTTTGCTGACCTACAGGCTGTGACCAAGAGCAGTTTTCAGCCAGAGGTATGTGCTTTCCCAGTTGTTCCTTAATGTCTTCCAAGTGTGCATGGAACTCAATTTAAAAAGGAATCATTTTTTATGCACTACATGACAGTAAGTAATTTCTTGGGTTCTATCATCACCAAAAATCCTTAAATAGTCATAAATTAGACAGCTAGCCATCAAAAGGCTCTCCGCCTTTCAGAATCTTATTTTTTCCAACTAATTCAACTGATCTCACTGCTGAGCCTTGACACTGACTCCAAAAAAGCATTGAAAAATATGTTATTACAACAAACTCAGCAGCAGATAGCCCTTTAAACAATATATTTCAGAAGAGCATCCATTTAAGAAAAATGGTAGCAAGTCTATATCTGGCATAAGGCAGCAAATGTATTTTGCCTAGAGCCATGCTTATAGGTCACCCTTAAATGGGAAAAGACTGGTGGAGATTAAATATTTCATTAAACTAACATAAAATTGGAAAAATAGAGAGGTTTTGCTCACTCAGAAGGATGCTCACTCTTCCTTAGAGCACCATGGCACAGGACATACCATTGCTGTCTCCTAGAAGGCAGCTTGACTACATCACTGTGGTGCACAGTTGTGAAGACAAGCCCGCAATTCCAAACTTTAAAAGAATTTATTAGGGCCCTAAATGCTGCTAAGAAACCTAAATTTATGGCCTTAACACCTAATTAGGTGCTGAATGGCTGTCAAGAGAAATCTCCATAATAATCCTGTTAGCATTTAATGCCTAATTATCACTGCAGAGAGTAGTCTGGGCTATATAATCGAGAATTACAATGCCTAAAGGACTCAAAGCAGGGATTTTAAAATGCATTTCAGTGAATTATTTCTCAGTATTCCTCAGTAGTGAGTTCAGCAGGTACTAAGTTACAAGAGGGTGTAAGTTTGGAGTTCTGGAAAAGAGTCAAAACTCACTTATCTGCCACCTCCTCAAAGGTCTGTCTCACACCCACTGCTTAGACAGACCTGTAAGATTTGTCCATATGAAGAACTGAAATCCAGCTAATATGTTCTCAGCTCCCCAGCCTGTTCTGGGCTGACAGGTGTGTATTTCCTCTTCACCCCAAATCATACTGGTTCTATGGATGGCTCCTTGCAAAGAGCAGTAACAGTTGCAGCATCCTTCGCATACAGCAGACATCATGGAAAGCCAACTTGAAGCACAGGTTTTGTTTTCCTACCACTCTTGGATATCAAACAGTGTGTGGTGAACATCCTAATATTTTCCAAATAGGAAAACAGCCTTCAGGGCTTTCTGTTATAAAACACTTTGTACCCTGAGCAACAATTTAATTCACCCCATTATGCAGAACAGCTCACAGAAAGCAAGGAGAAGTTAAGAATCAGAAAATAATGCAATTTATTTGAGGGGAAAAACAGAAAAAAAAAACCCGTACCCAAAGACTGTGTTAGGATCATGCCTAATACAAAACAGAGCCTACAAAATTAAACAAACCAGATTTTGAAAATTTAGAAATTAGAATTCTGCTTCTTAATATAGGAGACCAGTGAATATGATTATAAAATGAACTTATGCATTTTGGGGACAGATTTGGTAACAATACAACAAAGGAGTAAATATACTGGAGCAGCTAACTCCGCAGTCATCTCTGCCCTGATATAAGCCAAGGGATCTTAATCATTTCCACCCTAGCGATGTCCTGGCAAAACTCAGGCACTGATGAATGACTTTATCACCTTCCCTGCTTTTAGCTAAGCCTTAAAAAGAAAAATAAAAAGCTGCTCAGGCTTGGAGGTCACTATTCTAGGATTCCTTTCCTCCAGTCTCCTTCCCCAGAAACTTTCTTCTCATCTTTCCTCCCTCTGTGATTAGCCAGACAACACTGCATCTCTGGCAGGACTGCTCCAAGCCCAGAACTGAACAGGCAGCTGAAAGCAACGCACCTAAACATCGTGTAGGTTCCTACAGTGTGTCCACACCTCATTTTAAAAGTGCTCTAAGACAGTCATCAACCTTCAGTCTGTTCCATTTAAACACATCCCCAGCCAGGGGCTTCCCCCAGGCACACTCTGAGACCACTCTGTGTTGTCCCAATAGCTGAGTGCAACATCTGCAATGCACCCGGATAAGCTGCACAGGCTTATGAAAATATTCTGGTCTTAAGATAGGAAGACAAGGGAGTCTGGTAGGTTTCTAACTGCATCTGAGATGCCTCTTTTGGAGCAGAATCATAACCCTGGGATGGTAAAATCACACTGCCTGCCTCACCAGACTGGCAAGTTAGCAATCAGCACCAGGCCAGCAGTCTTTGATTTCCTCTCTCTGGAACTGCTTGGGGTTCATTTTCTAAAGGGAAATCCACTCCATTTTTAACAGCAAAATGAGTTTAAATCATGATGTTTGCTGTTTTCATTTTTTTCCCATGACAAAATATTATCACTTACAAGGATGTCAAGTAAAAACAATTTCACAACAGGGAAAATAAATCTGTTTAAATAAGTCAATCTTACTTTTAAAATCCTTTAACATCACTCCCTTTTTTTTCCTATTACCTTCACATTCCCAGTTCCGGAAGAAGAGGCAAATGATGATTCTCAAGATGACTGAAATGACACTATTTGACAGCCTGTCAGTTAAGTCATTGGGACACAGAGGTATTAGGAAAGAGTAGTCATCTCTCAGCCCACAAAGCTGCAAAGGCTGGTAAGTGCATTCTGAAATTTGCAGGCACCCCATTTTCCACTGGATTTGAGGGCTGTTTGCTTTGCTCCCCAGTGACTAGCAAATCTGCAGGCAAAGTGCTGGCTTCCAGGTCTCCCACTTTTTGGAAAGCAACCAGCTCCCAAAGTGCCTTGTAATATCCTTGGAAATTAATGGTTGATTCCACTATCAGCTGTCTCAGAGCTGTCATGCAGGTGTCTAAGTGTGTAAAAAGTTTCTCAGGTTATTGACTCATTCAATGATGGAGGTATCTGGATCCCAGATGGATCCCAGACTTTCCAGCAAGTTAGCCCCCTCAGCCCCAGACAGCTGAGAATCTGAGAAGCCTCAAACTACTCACACCACTCAGAAAATTGACCTTTACAATATAAAATGTCATGGAGTTTCAGGTTTACAAAAAAATACAAGCTTCATCTAATCTTGAAAACAGTTTGGTTTTTTTGAGCTCAGCAAGCTCTAAGTTTGGTTCATAATTAAATATTTATTCATCTCTAAAAAAGGTGACAATATAGTAATCACCTTAGAGGCAGAGGTGACTGACTCATTGAGGTAGTAAATGTGCATATATTCAAAACAGTTTAAAATTCAAAATGACAAAATTTTAAGGTAAAAGGTGGCTGGATCTCTAGGCAGCTAGGAAATCTCTAGGCAGCGATACGATTTTAAAAATATGATAACCATTAAAACTGAAATTTTTATATACGGAGTTAAAAAAATAGAAGCTTAATTTCCTACAAATCCCAGGTGAATACCTCATCTCTCCCTCCATGACCAGTTACTTTGAAAATGAATATTCACTCCAGCTTTACATTCCCATCCACCACAGCTGAGGACTTCATGAGGCAGCCACGGCTTTATGATAAAGCTTCTTCTCAGTTGCCAACCAGTGTAACTCAGTTTGGATCTTACATGAGTTGGTGCAGTTGTGTGCAATTAGAAAGGGCACAGCAATCTAGAGTCTGAGCTAGCTTTACACAAGCAGAAGTAATACAGGTAGGCACAGGCCTGCTAGCACAAAATCAGCAAGTCAAAAAAACTGAAACTGATTTAAACCAACAGGGTGATCTTAAGAGATCACTGGTTTTCATCCAGTGCTAGGAGCATGAATTCATCATAGAGCATAACATCAACATTCAGCCTGTGAAATACTGTCCATCTACTATTTGTTTTAAGTAGGTAAGTAGGTAAAGAAGTCAGTTATTTCTCTGCTCTCTGAACATAATAACTTTTTTTAATGTATTCTGATATAGAAGTTCTTACCACTGCCCATAGTCACTTAAATCTTTTCCATACATGAGGACTACCAGTTACATTTATGATAAAGACAGTCAAATAGGCCAACTATGGAACTCTAGAGTTCAATTCTGTCATATTTAAGAGATTTCACAATAGCTGATGATGGTGCTTACCAAACAAAATTCTCCTTTAAATTCAATACTCACCAGACTTGCTGAATGAGGCTGTGAATGCATGGACCTCATGGATGACATACTGGTCTGGTGCATGTATCCATATCCTTGAGTCTGGCTTTGTTGATATGCCCCAGGGAGAACAGGGGCTGCATTAAAAAAATACACGCACATTAATTAATATTTTAAAACAGCCCTATGTAACATTTTGTAAAAATGGTAGACTGTTGTCACTGTTAATAACATTAATTCCTCCATACAAAACAGTTCAGAATTATTTCCATAAAGAACATAAGGCTTTTTAAAGGCTGATTTACACATAAATGTAGCCAAAGCTATAACAATACATCCACAAACATTACTAGGGTTAGTTGGAAGGAAAAGTTTAACATACCATTAGAAGTTTAATCATTAAAAGGTTTATGAAAGTTTAAGACACCATGAACTCAATTTTGGTACTGACACAAATGAGGCACTAAATATATGTCCAATAAGCTGCCATCTTTAGGGAATGAATAATGAAAAAAAGCTAATACAGTTATGAAATGGTTCACTAGAAACTCACTGTAATTAATTCTTAACTCATTGCAAACTAACTCTTATTTATTAGGCTATGAACAAAGAATTATTGCAGTTCACAGGAAGAGGCAGAAATTTTAAGTGAGCCCACAGTCAAGTTTTTTAGTTTATTCTGATTTCATCAACATTCTTAGTCCAATACAGAGAGATCAATGCTACTTACATATTTCAAAGTCCACCTTATTCAGTATTTTCCTCTTACCACATAATTGTCCCATTTCTTTAATACATATTTCATTCATATTTTAACACTTCTGTATACTAATCAATAATATATTAACTTCTATTTTACCAAGAAAGCTGCTGAAAGCATGAATATAACTAACAGGGATCTCTAACTATATTGCTTACTAGAAAAGCATTCATAAACTTCCCACATCTGCCCAAGCATCTTACTGTGGCAACCCACTGAAATAAAGCTGTGTTAAAAACATGGTTGATCAAAAAACTGTGAGAAATAAGCCCAGCATAAGTAACTATCTTCCTAGCAAGGCCAAAAAGTATTTTAAAAGCAAAATTAAAAATACTGAAGTGGTTTTCAAAATAGAAAGATTAAAGTTTAGTGACTACGTATTTGTGCATATTTTACAAGACTCAGGCTCAGAATAAAGATTTCTGGCTTGTATGGAGGTTATTAGCCCACCTCCACTGTTATTTGCCAGCACTTTACTAGCTCAATGGGGAATTCATTTAGCTACACTGAAAAAACAATGTATTTCTGCTCATATTTTTCAAGTGATCTATTTAGATGATAGCCTATCTCCTCTTCCAAAAGCTGTCTTTTGGTTAAAGAAGATAGAGCTTATGCAGCACATGATTTAAAAGTCTTCAAACATGGAGTCATTCAGCAGTCCAGCACTTCCTGGGATAGATCTTTTGGGCTACTTGGCAAGTAAGAATCCCTTCTGCAGCAGCCATCACACATAGATTCAAAAAGGAGCAAATCTAACATAAGATTTAATGGGGTTTACAATTTGTGAAAGGATCCAGGACTTGTAACATGAAAAAATACATGGGAAAAGCAGGAAATCCCAATAAAAATATATATTTATGATAAGTATTAATATTTGCACTAGTATTATGCCATAATTCTCTGCTTCTTGAGTTGTCAGGACAAGAAAGGCATGTGAAAAAAATTGATTACTGAGAAAAATTTTGCTCAAGTATTTCAGAAAGAAAGGTCAACCTTGTGCTTTCAGCAAGTTGTTTTACTAATCCTGCTTCTCTAGCTAACAAAATCATTGATTTCAACAAAGGTTCTTAAAACTTCCATTTAGTTTTAGTTAGCATATTCAAATGCACTAAGTGTGTAATTACAATTTGGGATGCTACACTTTGCTCTACTATACTTGTAAAGATAACTAATACTATATATTAACTAGGGTTTTTCTTATTTAGAAAACATGCTTCAAAGTATTGTTTGTAATGAACAGATTGTTTTGTTAAATGAGGGAAATTAAAGTGATATGCAGTCAGATGCAGCATTGGAACATGATGAATAATGGATGTTTTAGAAGGGCCAAGTTCATTCTAATGACATATAAGTAGAAAGATATTTTAAAGCAGTTCAATCATCAGAGAATTTCCACTCATTAACACGTTCACAGGATTATCATGCATTCAGTGAATAGTCCTAAGTAGTTCATCAAATAATTTATGTTTCAATGTTGTTACAAGCTATTTCCACATAAGCAGATGTGGCCCTTTGTGAGAAAATACTGGAAAACATAATTTAATCAAAGGTTCTGTGATCAAGCTGAAATGAATACATTTTGTCTAATTCACCACCAGCATGAATTGTAGGCCAGTTTGTCGAAGTCAACAGAGTCTCATCTCCTCACACCAGCAGCAAATTATTTTTATAGGTTGAAAACTAAGCACAGCTTGAACTTTTTAACTTAGCAGGAGGAGTACTTCAGCCAACACTGGCCACTGATCAGCCAGCAGCAAGCCTGCCCTGCAACAACAAAGGCTGGTAGCTCTTCCCTGGTCCCTGGCAGGGTCAGACACCCTGAGAGTCCCTTTCTTCTTCCCGAGAGAAGCAGAGGCTGGTAGGAACCTTTTGTTCTTGATTCCTTCTCCCCAGAAGAGATCTTTCTCATTTCCTATCAATCACCCCTTGCCAGCATAAGGCAGCAAACCCAGTGATGGTCAGCTTCATTGTGACCTCCAAGTCAACTGGTTTATTTTGGGGAGGATAACCCACAGCTCCTGCCTCTGTGACAAGTGACAGTTGCAGGTCTGAAATGTGCTTTCCTCTTTAGCAATCAGTCTCTCACAAGCTGACAGAATTCTGTCAAACTGACTCAACAAGCTGTTTGCTACTTTACCTGCAATGATAGAGAACATACATCTACAAAAATAAAGCATTTCTTCCAAGGCATGAGAAATTCAGTGAAGTGATAGAAACTGTAGTATTAGAAAAAGATTTTATACAAACAAAAAGAAGGATTAGCTTTGCTAATTATCTTCTAGTCATTTATTTAGGTATCATATATGTGAGCAGAAATATCAGCACATACTAGTGTTGAAGATACTTGCTTGAATAATTCCATGTGGGCTGGGTTTTTTTCCATTAAAAGAATACTATAGTATTCAACAAAAAACTTCAAAAACAATCACTATTTTCTAACAACTTTTAACAAAGAATACTGAAGAAACTTTCAGAGGATGGTCTATTTGGAAGGCTAATTGGGAATAATATAAATAAGCAATATAGTAAAGAGACAATGTCTGAGCTGTGTTTCTCGTGACATACAGATAATTCAAGGTGAGATTAAATAATGCAGAGAAAGAGTTTGACTTTTTTTCATCACCATCACACATAGTTAACTGGAATCTTTTGGCTAAGTCAGAAGTATAAAGTTCTGTAACATCATTGATTGCAGCAGCAGCCAAAGCAATGGTTTTAGTTAACCTAAGGGAACAATAAAATTCAGTGGTGGAACATGAAATTCATTTAAGTGAAGCCAGATTTATTGGTGATGGAGCTGAGGGCTGACCATTGCTCCCAGAAGTACAGGTGGATGATTTTTTTTTTTTTGGCTGCATTAAGACTTTACCAGATGCATTCTGATTTATCAAAATCTACTTTTTTTTTCTTGTCCTACTTACCAAGCAAGCCAGATATTCATTTTAAATTATCTACTTGAATAAATGTATAATATATCTCTTACTATATCTTTACTGGTTTCCTCAGAGAAAAGAGCAAGAACAATGAATGAACATTATATAAGACAGAGAGGAAGCCTCCAAGAAAAAGAAGCAGCTGGAAAAATGATGGCAACTATCAACTCTCTGCTGCAGACAATAGGGTCTGCAGAGTGTGTACTGATCAGGATATGCTTTGAAAAGAACTGGGGAAGAAAAAGGTCAAAATGTAGAAACAGGAAAGAGTGTCATATAACTATGAGCTTAAAAAGAAATGTTATGCTAAAAAAAAAAAACAGATAAATGTTAGGTTCTGAGATACATTTTATCAATACCATACTTAAACTCTCTGCCATTCTTTAGTACAGCAGAACCTTGATAATCCATGGTAAAACAATATATCCTCAGTGGTACTTTTGCCATTTACTGCAACACATGCCAATTACTGAACCACATGTAAAATAACCATTCCATTTACTCACACACATCATACACTTTTAAGGATTTAATAGTATCCTTCCTATTCTGATAACACCTTAAGTCACAGTTTCAGTCGTAAGACTTCATACAACTCACAAAGAAAATTGCAACATTCTGTAATCATAATATGAGAGAACACAAAATTAAAATAAAGACTTTGATTACTATCTGCGTAATTCTAATGTCTGCAATACATTAGGTAAAAAGCTGTAGGCTTTCTGAGTGGCGGGAAAGAGCCAGAATACAGCATCATCATACATCTCTGTGTTACTGCCATTACAATGAGCTCACCTAAAACAGATGAACCTGCTTAAAGGTATCATGCTCATCTACATATGTGGAAGTCCTTCCTTTTTTTTTGCCTAGCTACTGCTGTATTTTTCACAGGTTGCTTCATTTCATGCAGGCTTCACAGACTTCCTTTAGAAAGCCTTCCCCACAGTTTTCAGTTCATTCTTTCTTTGGTTCTTCCCTTAGAAAGCCTCAGCTATGTCCCAGGTAACAGAAGACATATGAGAGTGATGCAGTCACGCATGGGGAGATGCAGGCCTACAGGACATTCCTGGGGACTCAGGTCACTCCATGTGCTGTCCATGTGCACAGGTCACTGTGCCTGAAGTGCACAGCACCCTTGACACTTCCCAGTGTAATACCTGGCTAAAGAAATACAACCTTAGGAAATACAGGAAACAGAACTGTTACTGCTCTCTTAAATCTGGAGGATAATAACAACTGATATCTTTTAAAGCCTTCTCCAGAAAGTGTTAATGAACTTACTTTGATTACAAATTCTGGGTAGATAATTTATTTTTTTGTTTTCTATAGATTTTTCCAGATGTTGGTTGCTACACACCATCACTGAAATCTTTAAAGTGAGTGTTTTTCTCAAAGAAGCCTCTAGAAATCATATAATCTGTCCCCATTTAAAATCAGGGCCAAA